AAGATAATACAAAAAAGGAAAACTGAAGCTCACATCCTATGAACAGAGACACAACTATCAAAACAAATTGAGCAATATATGGAGACAATAATATATCACAACAAAGTGAAGTGTACCCTAAGAGTTCAAGGTAGACTCGACATTCAAAATTGAATCAGTATAATTCACTATAGTAACAGACTAAAAAAGAAAAAGCATATTATTATTTTTAAAGATGTCTGCAAAGTATTTAACAAAATCCAATTCATGATTTTTTTTGGGGGGTGTACCAGTGATCAAACTCGGGACCTTGCGCTTGCGAGGCAGGCGGTGGAATCACTGAGCTACATCCCCGGCCCCCCAATTCATGATTTTTTAAAAAAATCAGAAAACTAGCACTGCAAGGGGACTTTGTCAATTTGGTAAAAGGCACCTACAAAAAAAATCTATAGCTGTGCCGGAGATGTAGCTCAATGGTTCTGCCCCTTGCCTCGCAAGCACAAGGACCCAAGTTCGATCACAGGTACAAAAAAAAAAACACACAAAAAAACTACAGCTAATCTATAAAACGGAGTACTACTCAACCATAAAGAATGAGAAATTAGAGACATTTATAGCTAAATGGATGCACATTGAAGTGATACTCTTAAGTGAAATAAATAGGACACACGTATGTAAATACCGACTAGTTTCTCTAGTGTGAGAAACTGAAAGTGTAAATAAAGACTAAAAGATATAATAGATAATGTGAAATAGGAAGAAAAGGGGCAAAGGGGAAGGGGAAGTGGGAGGGGCAGGGGAAAGGAAAGAAGGGAATGGAATTACTATGAGAAAATGAAAAAATGGAAACAAAGTCTTTGTAAATAGGGAGGGATGGAGGGCTTGAAGGGAGGGCAGGGGAAGGGGGAAAAATAAGAAGTAAGATAGAGTATGCCAAGGTGCAAATTCCCAACAATGAATGTCATTATATTGTACACCTAAAATGTACCAATAAAATTAATGATATAAAAAAATCTACAGCTAAAATACTCTTATTTGGGGGGGCGGTTTGGTACCGGGGATTGAACTTGGGACCTTGTGCTTGTGAGGCAGGCGGCAGAACCACTAAGCTAAATCCCCGGCCCTAGCTAACACACTTTTAAAAATTAAACGTTGTGCCTCCCTGGCAAGCACAAGGTCCAGAGTTCCATCCCCAGTACAAAAAAAAAAAAAAATTTAAATCTTGTCACCCCAAAGATCAAGAAACAGCAAAAGAGATTTGCTTTCAACATTTCTATTCAACATTTATCATAATGCACCTTCCAACTATAAACAAGGCTACTAGAACTAATACATGAGTGTAGCAAGGTTGCAGAATACAAGATCAATAAAAGTGATTAACAAACTAATTCTAAAATTGATATAGAAAAATCAGGGCCGGGGATTTAGCTCAGTGGTTTTGCCTCCTGCTGCACAAGCACAAGGACCCTAGTTCGATCCCTGGTACCAGAAAAAGAAAAAAGAAAAATCAGAGGATGTAGAATGTCCAAAACAACTCTGAAAAAGGAAAACAAAGTTGGAGAGCTGAAAATATCTGATTTCAAGATTATTATAAAGCTATGGATGGGAGCCAGGGATTTAGCTCAGTGGTTCTACCACCTGCCTCGCAAGCACAAGGTCCTGAGTTCAATCCCCAGTATCAAAAATAAATAAATAAATAAAAATAAAATAAAGCCATGGTTGTCAAACAGCATGGCATTGGCATAAAGATGAACAAACAGATCAATGGAACAGTCTAGAGAATCTATGTGCACCTACAGAAATATGGAAAATTGGTTTTTTACAAGATTGCAAAAATAAATCAAGGGAATTAAGACAGTTTACTCGATACATGGCATTAGAACAGATGGAGTTCATGTGAAAGAAAATGAACCATGATGTAAACCGCACAACTTTCACAAAATTAAATCAAAGTGGACCACAGATCTAAATAAAAAAATGTAAAATTACAAAACTTTTAGAAAAAAAAAAAACAGGGGAAAATCTTGACAGTCTTAGGCTGGATGAAGAGTTCTCATATTTGACATTGAAAGCATGATCCATAAAAGAAAAAATCTGGTATTTTGGATTTCACAAAGATGTAGATTTACAAAAGATACTGTAGAGGCAATGAAAAGGCAAACTATAGACTGATCAAAAACATTTGCAAATTAATATTCAGTAAGAACTTGTATCCAGAGACAAAAACAATACCTAACTCTCAGTGTTGTCTTTAGCATGGTGCCTGTTACATATAAACATTCAATAAATATGAACTATTTCATAACTTTATAATCCTTATTATAGCATTCTTTAAAATTGAAAAAAGAAGCCAAGTTATCATCAATAGAGAAATTATTAAATCATGATGCATACATTACAAGAAACATTAGACAATGGTTTTAAAAACTAAAGTAAATCTGGAAAGATCCCCAGAATTGATGTGGAAAACACAAACTGCAAGACAATTAGTATAATACGATCCTGTTTGTGTGAAGAAATACTTATTTTCTGGAAAATTTTTAGAATGACCTGTAACAGCTATTATCCCTGGGGTGGGTAGGATGTAGGGGAAATAGAATGGGGGTCTTTCACTTTGCATTCTATTTATTCCTATATTTTTCAATTTTTACAATAAAAATATTTTTTATTACAAAACTGCAAAAGAAAGAATTGACTGTCTTTTTAAAAGAGCAGCAAAAAAATAACTTTCTGATGGCCTTGTCTCAGGGCATCAAGTGCATAAAGTAAAGCTTTGCCCACAAACGGGCTGAGTTTCCACCTGGATATTGATGGAGTGTGGTGGGCTGGCCTCAGTCAACACAAACAATTGAGAATTTGGTTACTGTCCTAGTCGTGCCACTAAGTAGCTTTGGTACGTTACTGATTAAACATGTTGGTTGTACTTCTTGAAAGATGGAATCAAGTCTTTTTCCTCTGTCTTCCTAGCAAAAACCATGGGCCCTAGGTTAGAGTTGGCACCCAATTGAAGGGAGGAAGGGGAAACTACTTGTGACAGGAGCTAAATTAACAGAGCTGTGAACAACACCCCTGGCCCGCCCCGTCGAAGTGACACACGATTGCCATCTAGTGGCACAAAGGATTCCTGTAGTCCTTAATGGTGAGAGGAAATGGACTTCTTTTGGAGGTATGTTTCACGGACAGGCACTTCACAGCAAAAAAAGACCACGACGCTCCTTAGAAATTGTTCCCAGCCAGAGAGTAAACAGGGTCAAGGTTTTTGTCGCAGAATGTTGGTAAGACAGCATCAAGGTTCTCTTCTGTCGTCAGTCTCCTGTAGCATCACACACCCTACATCTCTAGGCTATGTGGTGTCTGCTCTTTCCCCTGCCTCTTTCCACCCAGAAATAATGAACCACATATGACAACAGGCCTCCACACCCACCCCTTCCCCCAGTGACAAAACACTAATGAATATTCCTAAGCCAGAGTGCTCAGGACAAGGTACAAACCCAAGGCCGGACAAAATGTTTCCATCAGCCTTGTTCTCCAGGTTCACCATCTTTCTGAATCATCTACTAGAAAGTGAGTGCCAGTCTGCAAATGCACGGTGATTCTGCAGCAGTGTTAGTACTACTCTGTAACGCAGGCCCCACCTGCCAGTGCAGGGCATGGGAGTAGATTTTCTTTTCTTTCCTCCATTGAGGAGTAATGAGTTTTCAAAGAAGCTGCACAGTTAGCGACGCAGCTGTGACACACAGGGGTAGACATGTGGGACCTTGTGTTTATGGACCTGTGGTCTCATAAGGGACTGTGCAGGATACATTGGTAGTTACTAAGAGAAACGTTAATATTTCTGTATCTCTGATATCTTACATACTAAGTACAACAACGTTCTTCTAAAATGGTGCTCAGCAGTACAAACAACAAAAACCTTTCCAGAGATCTTAAGAGTGAGACACTGCAGCCTATGGATAACGGGAAAGAGGCCCCGAGCAACTGTAGGTGCAGGAAAAGATCTTGTTGCAAATTCTACAGGTGTTCACTCACTATGGAAGTCTTATAATTCTGGCTCTTCAACCCTTCCGGCACCATGTGTGTTCTGAAATGTGGGAGTGAAAAGTACTGGTGAAATTTGGTCACAGCAAGAACAGCAGTTTGAGAGGGAGGATATGAGCGCCAGGCAGCCCGCCACAGAGGAGCCCCTACAGGGTGGATTTCTTCCCTCTGCCATGCTCTGGAGTCACAGAGAAATTAGGAATTATAAACAAGATGGATCCATCAAGCTGCTCCCAGCCTTGAAAAAAAAAGCAAGACTCCGTAATCTCTATTTATATGCAGCTCCCTGGGGGCTGAAGTGGTTCTTCCTAATGGCTGAAGAATGCTCACTAGCTGGCCTTTAGGTCTTTAAGCAGAGCATTTTCAGGACCGTGTCCCGAGTGGGTTCGGGAGATAATGACCATCCAGCTGTCGGTAGCATATTTAAAAATCGCTAATAGGACGTGTAGGAAGATGTGTTCTTCCGAGTGTCCCTATTTCTTAATAGTCAAAGTCAGTGGTTCCTGCTGAACTAGAAAAACGCAGTCTCAGCAGAAAGCAACAGCTGAGAAGATACAAGATGGGAAAGTTTGCGCTGTGTGGAAGGACGAGTTTCGGCGGAGAGCCAGCCCGAGCGCTCCCTGCGTCCGAGGCGAAGGCGGGCGCCTCCCTGGCCGCCCTCACCAGGCAGGTCTGAGCTTGAGGTTCGCCTCCCTGGCCCCTGGCCCCTGCCCGGCTCCCTCGCTCGGCACCGGAGCCCTTTCGGGGGTCTCCCGGCCGGCCCAGCCCCAACCCACCACCCTCCGCCAGGACCAGCGCCGGGCAAGGGCCGCCCGGTCCCGCCCGCGGCCGGGCACAGCGAGGACGCTGGCTCGACGTGCGACCTGGGCTTCCTTCCACCGGCCTCGCCCGCGGCAGGGCGCCCGGAGCGGCTGCGTGTGCGGTGGCCACCCCGCAGACGGGGGCCGGGGCCGCGAAGGCCAGGCGGCGGCGCCTCCACTCACGTAGCGCTGCAGCTTCCTCTCGGGGGGCGACTTGACGAGCCAGCCGGTGCACACGGCGTCGCCCGAGCTCATGGTGGCCGCGCCGCCGCTTCCTCCAGCCGGGCCAGCCGCCCGCCGCCGCAGGAGGAAGTTGAGCCGGGGATGGATGCGGCGGGGCGGGCCCAACGCTGCCAGCCCAGCGCCGCCCCAGCAGGACCGGCGGCCGCTGCGACCCCCGGGAAGGGTGGGGGAGGGGAGGGCCGGCCACGTCGGGGGAGCCCCTTCGCCCAAGCGCTGTGTCGCCCGGCCTGGCGCTCCCGCCGAGGGGCCGCGAGGTCAGTTCCAGTGGCCGGGCCCAAGCTGCGGGCTTCGAGGGCACGGGGAAGGAACCTGTCGCCCATAGTTCCCGTCCCTCGTCAGCCGCCTCCACAAAGGCTGGTCCCCTGACCTCAGAGCACCAGAATCAAAACCCTCGGCCCACATCTGCCATGTAGAGAGCGAAGGGAGAGAGAAAAGTAGGACTCCTCTTCAATTTCCCCCTTCCACTTGATGCTTTGCAAGTACTGTTTCTTCATATGCTCCTCCAAAGACCCCATGTTCAGCGCTCAGCTCTACTGGCCAAACTGCTTCAATGCCCCAATAACTAGCCCACATGATCCAAAGTCAAAAGGTGGTGTCAATGCAGCCTCTTTAATTCTAAGATTTGAAATGATGACTCCGAAAGTGACTATGCCAGGTGGTGTGCAGAACACCCTACGCAGTAATAATAATAAACACCTAAGTTTTCTTGCGACTTCCTCCGTGGCAAGTTCACACTTCGCCAGTTACTGTCCTAAGCACATCACAAGCATTACCTCACTGGACCTGTGCAGATATCCTGTCCAGGGAGAGGGAGAGAGTCACAGCGGAAAGGGGGCAGAGGGAGACAGGAGGAGAGCCAGGCTAACTACGATCCTCATTTCTGTGACCAATCGTGAGACCAGAATCGGTATTGATAACTTCCTTCTTCACTGCTCTCTTTGCTTTCCAGCCAGGACCTCAACTGGTCACAATTCTTTGCCCAGTGAGTGACCCAAAACTTTATTCAGAATGAGTCTGGCTCCTCATTGGTCCTGCCTATCCAGGGCAGTGCTAAGAGATGCTTCCCTGTGGGTTCTTTATCTAAAATAAACTTACTAAGGCTGCGGCCGTGGCTCAGTGGTAGAGCACTTAGTTGCCTAGCACGCACAAGGCCCCATCTTCCATCCCCAGCACCGCCAACAAAAAAGGCAGGGGTCGGGGGTGGGGGGGGCGCTTAATTTGGCAGTTCATTCAGTATTGTAAATGTGTAGCTAGAAGGATTTGTGGAAGTAAATGCTTACTGTTAAAGAACGGTTTCTCTTTCAATTATGTCATGATAGGCAAAGGGGAAAAGAAAAATTTGAAAAGAATGTGGACATGGAACATTTTCACAAGAAATTTGAAAAGAAACTTCTGGATCTTGGACAGACATGGAGAGATAGCTGGTCGTGTGTGAAGGCCAATAATAAGAGGAGAGCCCCATGCTTTTCTTTATCTCCTATGCCCCGCCCACCTCTTGTTCTAATAAATCTATGAAGCATGTGAATGAAAAAGCCTGGAGTGGCGGGGTATAAGTTCAACTAGGGCAGCTCTTTTTTTTTTCCTGTATAGGCATCTAAAATGTGTTTCTCTGAACATGAAAGGCACCTAATTTCCATCTGAAGTATAACATTCGGCTTTGCTACTGTCAATAATACTATTTCTCATATCTCATGAAAAAATCATGACTTCATATCCACCATTGTTATATTTAAAATTACAGGTCCAGGGATTTAGCTCAGTGGTTCCGCCGCCTGCACAAAAGTTTAAAATGGCATGAAATTACATTCACAACTCCAAGTCAAATACTTCTGAAATCATTCAATGAATCCAGTATTATTGCATGTAGCTCAGGTTGGTCTTTTTTTTTTTTTCCGGTAAAGGGGATCGAACTCAGGACCTTGTGCTCTCAAGGCAGGCTCGGTGCCACTGAGTTAAATCCCCAGCCATAAGGCAGTATTATTCTGATGCCAAAACCACAAAAAGGTTTTCAAAAACAAAATGAAAAACTACAGACCAGTATGCCACATAAATATAAGCATAAAAACCTTTGGCAAAATGCTAGCAAATAGAATTCAAAAATGCATTTAGAAATTGTAGTAGTGACCAGGTAGGGCTTATTCCAGAGGTTTAAAGCTCATTCAACATTTAAAAACCAATCAATGTGATTTTTTATATTAACAGGCAAGAGAAGAGATAATATGATTATAGCATCTCATGCAGTACAAACATTTGACAGAATCCAATAACTATTCATGGCAGAAACTCTCACTACACTAAACCACAAATAGGGAGGAAGCTTGATATCAACTTGAATTTCTGTAGAACATAATCTACAGAAGACCTATGGTTAACATCATACTTAATGGCAATAATCTGGACACTGTCGTATGAAGATTGGGAACAAGGTAAGGATATCCACTTTCCTCACTCTTAATTTGACATAGTACAAGAAATTTTTACTAATGCAATATAATAAGAAAAAGAAATAAAAGTCGCATATATTGGAAAGAAAGAGTCTCAATTTGCAGATTACATAATTGTCTTCATCAGATGTCTCAATGAATTTTTAAAAAATAAGCCCCACAACTAGTAAGTGTTTGCAAGATTGTAGGATACAAGACCATCTCTTTATACAATCTCAAAGCTTTTGATAAAGCTATGGTAATTAAAATTGTGTGGTATCGGCAGAGAAACAGACACATAGATAAGTGGAATGGAATTGAGAACCCAGAAATAGACACACATAAATTTCTCCAACTTTTGTTTGACAGAGGCACAAAAGCAATTCAGTGGAGGAAGGGACAAAGGAGTAATTGGACATCGGTATAGACCAGAACGAGACAAAGCAAAACTCAAACAAACAAAAACTCAATCCAAACTTCACACTTCATACAAAAATTAACTCAAAATGAATCCAACATTTAAATATGAAACATAAATGTACCAAACTTTTGGAAGACAACGGGAGGAAAACTGTGGGACCTAGAACCTAGTGATGAATTCTCAGACATGGCACCAAAAGTATGATCTAGAAAAGAAAAATTGATAAAGTAGCAATTAAAACTTTTGCTCAACAAAATACATTGTTAAGAGTATTATAGAACAAGCAACATCTATATATCTAACACAACACTCATCAAGAATATAAAAAGAAGTCCTAGACCTCTACCCAGTGACCCTCCGGCCTCCGTGGTTCCCATGGAGCGGAGCCATCTGTTCCATGAGCGGTTCCCCGAGGCTCACTCTCTACACACTGAGCCTGCTGGGAGTTCATGCTTCACTAACATTGAGGATTTAGCAACTAAATGAGACACAGCAGCTTTTAGGTTAAATATTGATGTGTTTTTACATTCCTCTCTGATAGGAAGCAATTAGAGAGTTACACTGAGCTATGGAAGGAGAGAGTGAAACAAGCTGAAAAAGTCATTACTACGCATGCTGGAAAATCAGTGGAACTGAAGAAAAAGGTAGAACATAGGAGAGAAGAAATAAAGTCCAAACTGGAACAGCTTATATTATTTCTCTACAAACAAGCAAGAGACTGGGCCAGGGATTTAGCTCAGTGGCACTGTGCCTGCCTCACAAGCGCAAGGTCCTGAGTTCCATCCCCGGTACCACAAAACAACAACAACAAAAAAGAACAAAAATATAAGAGAAAAGAAAATGAGCAAGAGACTATTACGTAGGTAATTATGTAGGTAATTACAAGATAAAGAGGTAGCTATTTTAGCAAAACTAAATGAAAGAATAACACAATTTTTCAGATCATGCCTCCTCATCAAAATATCTGTTAAAGATATAGAGAGCAAATGTGTAAATTCAGAAGTAGAATTCCTGGCAAATGTTAAAAGTCTGTAGCACAGATACAAAAACTTTAAATATCCTGAAACTTTTTTCAAATTCAAAGATTATGGTTACCAGCTTCCTCCACAATATTCTTCCCCAAACGAAATTATCAAGCAATTTCAAGTACATGTTGTTCTAGATTCTGATAGAAAAGCTGTGTGATATGGAAATATGCAAAAATTACCTCACAGCCCATGAAGATTTTATATCTGGTCAGCAGTTCTGGGTTATAAGGGTTATATTTCTGACAAGCACTACTTTGAGGTAGAAGTGAAAGATAAAGTTGAATTGACTATGGGTGCCTGTAGAGAGTCTCTTCCAAGAAGGAAAAAGAATCAGAACCAACCAATTTTAGGACAGGATGGATTATGGGGAATTGAACAGACTAATCAGACTAATTATATTGCACTAGGTCCTAAGAAAATTATCTTTTGTCAAAAGTAATAACTAGTACGATTGACATTTTATGTACTCTGAAATGGGTGCGGTTTCATTTATAATCTGAATGATAGAGCTCTTCTGGATATTTTTAATGACCATTTTCAGGAGCAGTTCTACCTTATTTCTTCACTGGTACTGACTCAAAACCCTTAAAATCTGTACAGTAATGGATTCTGAATGAACTATTAGAAAACTCTCATTTGTTTTTATTTCAGTGAACAAAACTCAGCCAATGAATCTGGTCAACAGGTCTGTAGTTTTTAAAATATTTTTCACTGTAAACAGCCATAATAATTTTATCTTTTTCAGGAAGTTCTAAATAAATGTTATTATAGTACCCATTTTATAGGTAAATTATGGGGTCCTATTAGAAATTGCTTTAGAAATTCTTAGATAAAATACTTTTGAGAACTGTACTGGTTACTTGTCTCGTTGCTGAGACAAAATACCCAACACCCGAAGTTAAAGGAGGAAAGGTCGATTGTAGCTCACAGTTTATAGAGGTTTCAGTCCATAGTCAGCTGGCTCCTAGGCAGGGCAGCAGGGCAGAGGGGCATCGCAGAGGAGACATAGTCCATGACAGGCAGAAGGCAAAAGGCAACAAAAGCAAACAATTGACAATAGGAGCTTTCTGCCCCTTTTATGTTCTATCTAAACTACCTGGCTTGGGGTGGGTGCCAAACCAATCAGTGGACTGATTTAATAATCACACACCCTTAATCCTAGCACACTTCATCCTAGCACTGTACCATGAATCAATCACACGCTCTAGACACAGCCATAACA